GCAGCGCCCCGGCCCAGCCCGCAGCGCCCCGGCCCGGCCCGCAGCGCCCCCGGCCCGCCCGCCCGCCGCCACGATGCTGGCGCTGCTGTCCCGGCTGCTGGACTGGTTCCGCTCCCTCTTCTGGAAGGAGGAGATGGAGCTGACGCTGGTGGGGCTGCAGTACTCGGGCAAGACCACCTTCGTGAACGTCATCGCGGTGAGCGGGCGGCGGGAGGGGCTGATCCCGGCCCGGAGCCCCGGGATGGAGCGGGGGGCAGCGGGTGTGCCCCGCTGGGTGGGATGGGAGCCCCGGGAGCCAATGTGCCTCCGGGAACCTTCGCGTGCTGATGGGACACTGATCCCACACCAGGGCACGGCCCTACAGCCGTGTGTCGGTGTGGCTGGGCTTAGCGAATGTGGAGATAACATTGTGTGTCCTCAGCTGCTTCCTCCCTTCCACTGTGTCAGTGGGCCTGAATGCTTTGAGGTGTCACCCGCTCACGGTTCTCCTCTCAGTTGTTTGCTTATGCTGATTGCTGTAGCCTGTATCAAATAATCTCCTTTCTCTCAAGGTACATCTTGCTTCAGAAGTACAACTAACAAACCTGAGAGCAGCAAAGTGCTGCACTGGGGCCTGCTGATCTGGTGGTGTGCCTGGAGCAAGTGAAGGAAGGGTGTGGAACTCCTCCTACACGAAGCTTTCCATTGTTGAATGAGATAAAGAGTAGCTTTACCTAAATGGCTTAGCTGGCTCCACCAGCGTCCTGCTCTGTGGATATATGTGATGGAAAACATTCCAGGAGACAAGTTTGGGAGCCCTTGTAGGGAGACTGGAATGGGATGCTGAGGTGCCTTTTGGGTTTGCAGGGAGCATGAGGGATCTGAGTCCCGAGCCCCTGGAATGAGAGCTGATGTCTCCAGCCTTACAGGGAGCAGACCTTCAGCTTGTCTTTCGGGGTTTTTTGAGGCTGTCTCCATAACACTATGGAATATTTGTATGAATGTATTTACTTAAGTGTCAGGTGAGTGAGTTGCTGGATAGGAAAAGGACTTCTGTTCTCTTGAATAAATTCATCCTTGTACGCTGATGGATACCCTGGCAAAACGTAACCAAGGTCTTGTGTAGCTCAGGTGTGAGCACTCAGTGGGCTCCTTGATAATCATGGGAAATTGGTCTGCCCCCATCAAAGGTCACTTTTCTCTGACTAGTTTTTATGTGAAAGTTGCTGAACTAACCCAAGAATGCCAGAAGCCTGTTCTTTCACACACTGCCACTACTTCTGGGCTTTGATTTCTAAACATGGAGCTCTGAAATTGTTGAACAACCTCAGCCTTTGGCTGCTGAGCTGATACTGCTCGGAGTGTTCCTGCAGCTTGGGGCTCTGAGGTTACCCTGCAGGTTTTTTGTCTGCTGGAGTCCTCATGGTGATGGTACTTGACAAAGAACTGCTTTGCCTCTGTGTAGTGCCAGCAGCACATGTTCAGGGAGTTACATGTGAAGCTATGAAGATATGTGGAGCAGTTCAGAATTGCAGCAGTGCTGCACATCACTGCACTCAGATTTAGTCCATCTGAGTTGTCTCAAGTGGTAGAAGTTTTCCTAAGTAAAGTTGACATCAGTTTCCAGCTTCCTTTGCCGGGGCTTGAATTTTGCAAGGTTTCAGCCATGTGTTAGGATCACACCCAGACATTTATCTGACTGTCATTCAAAGAGCCTTGCAAAACCCAGTGAAATAGGGAAGCTGTTGTGTGTGCTGACACAGCCTCGTTGGCTGGCTTGGTTGGAAGCAGCAACTTGCGTTTCTGAAGCTTTTAATTAGGACATCTATGAACTCTTTACAAAAAACAGAGAGAGGGGACTTGCTCAGGGTTTTATTACTGATTTAAAAAAAAATAATAGCATAACCTTCAGTCATCAGTGCAATATTGCTTTTTAGAGAAGTACAGCTGCCCATGGCATGCAGAGGTAACTTGGTAGTTGCTTCCCTGACTGACTTTAGTTCAGAGTCTGCATTTGGGAACGAGCGTGCGAAAAGAATAACTGCTCTCTGCAGGCCTGTTAATGGTCTGGATGGATGAGGCTGTTGGGATTCCTTAAAACTAAAATGAAAGGAATGACACAGCAAGATGTCCTGTAGGATACCTCTAAAAGCTGGATTGCACATCAGGAACTTGGTATGGCTTAGGAGGTTGTGTTCTGTCTAATAGGGCTGTTACCAGTCTCGACAATAGTGAGTTTAATCCAGTATAAATCTCTAATGTAATCTCTGCCCATCAAGTGAGGCATATGGAACCAGAGGGAAACTCAACCAAGGAAGCTTGATGCAAGGCCTGACTGCTGCTGAAGCGGGAGGCCTGACTGCTGCATGAGAGGCAGACAGTCCAGTTCTAGAATAATCTTCTAGATTGGTACTGGGTTTGGACCATATTTATTCCTTCAGTGTAAACAAGCACTTGGTTTGTAATCAGACCAAACAAGGGCGTGGAGTGATAGGACAAGGGGGGGTGGCTTTGAACTGAGAGATGGGGAAGTCGGATTAGATATTAAGGATAAATCCTTCTCTGTGAAGGTGGTGAGGCCCTGGCACAGTTGCCCAGAGAAGCTGTGGCTGCCCCATCCCTGGAAGTGTCCAAGGCCAGGTTGGAGCTTAGACCTGGTCTAGTGAAGGTGCTTCTGCCCATGGCAGGGGGTTTGAAGTAGATGGGCTTGAAGGTCCCTTCCAACCCAAACCATTCTGGGATCAGTTTGACAGGAAGGTTTAAAACCCAGCCTTAGCAGTGCAATCTCGTTATAGCTGGATGTGGCTAATGCAGCTTCTGCTTTGCTGAGACTCCACATTAGTCACTGTCTCTAATTAGATATTAAGCCTAAGTTTTCCATGTGCGTGAGTAAACTTGCTCACAAGGGAGGATATCATTTCTTCCTGGTCCTAATTTCCCTAATGTGGAAGGCCTGTGGCTCTTATTTGGAGAAACTGCCTGTCATCC